GATAGTACTGTCGACTGGGTTAGGCAGTTCGACATTCTCAGCACCTCTTGGTCTCCTCCTCTCTTCTACTACTTCGGCTACAACATTTCAGCTTACAGCCTCTTCTAAATGAAGAAGGCCCTTGTATCAAGAGGGCAAGTACTTTTATCAAATATCTTCTAGCTGGAACTGAAATTCTTTTCTTGTGTACCCACATGCACTGGGTGGGCACCTATTCCCTGTATAAAGAACATGTCTTTCCTTCATGTACCTTTATACATTTAATTATTTATTAATGCAAGTCATTTTTATCAATAAAATAAAAAAGAAAAAACATCCTAAACCAGAAGTAATGAGTTGTTACAACAAATAACCTATTTTTATGCATATCAAAACAGTAGAAAACTGGTGGAAATGATTCTATGCATACCCCAGCTGTGAATGCTTTGGAGGGAGCAAGGAAGCAATCTTATCAGTAAACTGCAGATTTAAACATAATGGAAAAGGTGAATAAAGTACCGTACATGTATAGTGCATACAATATATAAGATGCTAATTAATTGAACAAATGAAATACAGGCCTGGATCACAGGTCGGTATATAGAAGCTGCTAGATATATTCCTTGCTCAGGAAGCACAGTAGCAGTCCCATAACCTTCTTGTAGTACATTTGCTCCCTTCCTATTCCATCCTTGATGAATGAGATCAACACCTGAAATAGAAAATGGCATCTAGAGTTACCTATAAAATTTAAAGTTGTGATCTTGCTAGAGTTTAGTAGGAGAAAGACACAAAAATAGGTGTCAAGAAGGAATTGGGAAACTCAGGAAGTCCATGCCTCACCAACTGCTTTGGTTGATAGGAGAATAATGATAACAGAAATTACAAACTTCCCCTTGCTCTCGTTAAATGCCACTAGGAGATACTTTGATTAATAAGACAATAATGATAACAGAATTACAAACTTGCCCTTGCTATCGTTAAATGTCACTAGGAGCTACAATATTAAGACAATACATACATGAATTACAGTACTGTTAACGCTTGGCCTCAAGCTGGTGCATAAATATAAAACTTTCCCACCTTGTCAACAAGACCTTCAAGTTCTATTTTACCAATTGCTTTTGTCAAAATGTGGGCTAGCCCTCAACAGTCTTTACTGAAGGTAGGCATATATACTTGGACACAACCTTCTCTTTCATGAAATATCTATCGACTTAGGTTTAAGTGTTGGCAGTGTTCCATGGTATCCAACTGGCTAGATCTATGAACTTCAAAGACATACTGATTGAAGGGGATTCATATGTGATCATAAGATGGCTAAAAAATTATGATGCAGGGTCATGGAAATGTAGGTGCATAATGAGGGAAATCACAGGCATGGCAGCAGAGCTGAGAATAGTATACAAATGGATCCCTAGATCGATCAAGACTATGGCTGATGGGCTAGCTAAACAAGGCATAAACTGGAGAGAGTATTGGGGTTAGTAAAGGCTTCCTTATATATATCCATATGTAAGAAGGCAAGCAGAGGCTAGCTGCCTAAGTGGATGGAAAGAATACCTCGATGTACGTATCTCTAATTTTTTATCAACAAATAAATTTAACAGTTGCTGAGTTAATTAAGTCTATGGACTTCCATGTCCTTAGCTCTATTGTGTTGGATTGGATTATGAGCAATACTTATAGCATCTTTACTGTCACAATGTTTTAATTGGCAAGAGAATGGAAACCCTAGGCCATGCATGGATATTTTCAACCAGACTCTATAGGTCTCTAATTCATAGCTCTATAATTAGCTACAGCACTTGAAGAAATTGATCAGTCTTGGAATAGTAGAAAAGATGAGAAAAGAGAAAAGTGACAAAAAAAAATATGAAACTCAGTTGAGGGGTAGTACATCGACTTTACAGCCTTTGCCCATTCAGGTAACATTGCCTTTCCAAATCATGGATACCTTGAATCATCTTCTCCTACCTGGGTTATTGACTTGGGAGCCTTGAGCCATATGACAGGTAGCTTTTTTTCCTTTTTTTTGAGATATTCCTATACTCTTAAGGCAGCTTTTTTTTTTTCTTTTTTTGGGGAAGGGTCTATATTTGTCCTAAAGAAGTTAAAACTTTTCTTTGATCTTTTTAGAGTTAATGGTTGTCAATCATTTTTACCCCTTGACGTATAAATTTTACTTATATATATCAATCGCAAATCATGGCCAAAAATTTTATATATGGAATAGGTTCCATTTTCATTATTAAGACTCAGTATTGATAAAATTCAGTAGTTCAAAGGAAAAATAGTACCGTTAGTAGTAGTTGTACCTTTGTTGGGGATAGAAATTGTTGCTTCTGTAAAGCGGAAAGCAAAAGTAAGACCATCTTCTGAACAATTCCTGTAACACATCAAATTTTTTATATAAATATATCATACTCCACTTAATTCTTCTTATAGACCCAAAAATCATATAACACAACAATCAAAGAATAGTGAAACCATGTAAGATTCACCAAATATTCAATCAAATATAAGGACTCTTAAACAACTTACATAAAGTTAGAGAAGGAATGAAATAGTGCTGTAACCAGTAGAAGGAAGAAGAGAAGAGTATTAAGGGAGAAAAATGGGTGTGTATTAGCCTCTTAGGTTGGCCCACCCTCTCGAATTATTTTAAAGAGATAAAAGATGTGAAAATTACAACTTTGCCCTTCTTAAGTAATAAGACAACTTAGTACCCGCTTCGGAGGGCTTTCACATAGTGGCTTTTGGCTTTGCAAGGTAGGTTCCATCAGAAAGCCTAGAAGTTACTTTTGGTGAAAAATCTTGAAAGCTGAAATACACTTCCATTGAGCCCAGAAAATAATATTTTGGTGAAGCTATTTTTATGGCTTCTTCAAAGTGGCTGAGCGAAAGTAGTTCAATCAATGTTGAAGCCCTCCCAAATGATCTCTTAGACTATGCATTTTTAACTCCCCTCAAGTGGAGCACAAATATCTATCATGTTCAAGTTGCTCAATATTGGGTCCAATTTTTTTCTTTGTTATCCCCTTGGTAAAAAAAATCTGCTAGTTGATAATCAGTTTTGGCATATGGGAATCAATTTTTTTTTTGTATCAATATTTTCTCTTAGAAAGTGTCTATCATCTTCTAAAGGGTTGGTGCGATCATGATGAACAGGGTTATGGGCATGTAATAGTAGTTTTGTTGTCACAATACAATCTTATAGGGCCCTGAGATTCCACCCCCAGTTCCTTCAAGAGTAATTTCAACCATAGAAATTATGGTTACTCCATTAGCCATAGATCTAAATTTTGCTTCTGCACTAGAACGAGCCACAACACTTAGCTTCTTGTTCCTCCAAGTCACCAAGTTACCTGTGAAGAGAGTACAATATCCAGAGGTGGACCTACGATCATCAATTGACTTAGTCCAATTTGCATCTATATAAACTTCTAATGCAGATATTCATGGTCAGAAAAGAGTAAACCTCTCCTAGGAGAAGATTTTTAAGTATCTAATAATCTTCTTAGCAACTTCAATATGGGGAATACAAAGAGCATGCATATACTAGCTTATCATCCTGACTACAAAAGCAATGTTTGGGCTAGTTAGAGACAAATAAAGAAGCTTCCCAACCAGCCTTTGAAATTTTCCTTTGTCTTCAATTAGTTCTCCATTAATAGAGTTAAAGAGGTGGTTAGGGTTAATTGGAGTATCACATGGTTTGGATGTTAGATAGTGTGTATGCCCTCAGCTCCACCTGATGTATTATACATAATTTATTATGTATTAAGGAACATTCATTTCTTGTGTCATTTGGGTTGTTCAGCTAAATTACCCTTGGTTCATATTAGTATTATGTATGAGATTATATAATTAATTTAATATGGGCTTAAGTCTTCACAACCAGTTGGTACACTTGGGGAAGTCTATCCTGACAAGGTTGTCATTCTCACATAGCCCAAGTTTGTGGAGTAAAGGGTCTCAGCTGGTCGGGTTGTAACCAAGGTGTAAGGGTGAGTGTTTACTAGAAACATTGAATTGGACCAAACCTAGATTAGTCCTAGACTTTGTGATAGGTGGAACAACTGGGTGTTGCTTTTAACCCCTAGACTTGATATTGAATCAGTTTTAGTACCAGACTTGTCTATCTTTGATATGCCAACTGATGAGATCCTTGTGGGGTCAAATACCTAGGTATGTTGGGATATTCAAGGATGGCATGTCATCCGATGATCAATGTGATTGGATCTGCTACTATGTATAGACATAGTAAATACTTTGTACAACTTCTTCTTTGGACTCTTGAATTTATCTAAATCATCAATGAAGGATCCAAGTGGTGTTGGAAGTTGGACACTGATAGAATTCAGGTATATAGTGTTCTTATATTTCAAAATAATAAGGAGAAGAGGAACCTGTAGAAACATTAGAGAGAAGAGAAGAGAGGAGAAGAAGAGAAAACAGGTCTAGTTGAACTAGAGAACTACTCTCTCTAGTCGGCTAGGTTTTATTTATACCTTTCTAAAAAACAAATCAGAATTACTCTTATGCCCTCACTTAAGTGAGAGACACATCAGCTAACTTAAGACCTACTTGTAATTACATCTAACATATAACTTAATGTAAATTGCCTATACTACCCCTCTACAGCCTACTTCAACACTCCCCCTCAAGCTGGTGAGTATATGTCATATAGTCCCAGTTTGTTACATATGTAGTCCACGCTTCCCTGACTCAAACCTTTGGTAAACAAATTTCCCCATTGGTTTCCTATGTTCACATATGTTGTACTTATCACTCCATTAAACACCTTCTCTCATACAAAGTGGCAATCAACTTCTATATGCTTTGTTCTTTCATGAAACATTGGATTAGAGGAGATATAAACTGCAGCTTGATTATCACACTATAGCTTCATAGGAGTGTCAATCGAGTACCCGATTTCTTCTAGGAGATGCTTCAACCACACTAGTTCACATGTTATGTGTTCCATGGCTCTATATTCAGCCTCTGCACTGCTTCTTACTACCACTACCTGCTTCTTACTCTTCCATGTCACTAGATTGCCACCAAGAAAAGTGCAATACCCTGTAGTGGACCTTCATGCCAAATTTCTTCACCACTTCACTGAATCTTCCAAACCATGCACGGGGAGATTGTTTAAGCCCATAAATAGCCTTCTTAAGTGTACATACCTTACCACCCTCCCCTTGAGCAACAAACCCTGGTGGTTGCTCCATGTACACTTCCTCAAGGAGATCACCATGTAAAAAAGCATTCTTGATGTCAAGCTGAAACAAGGTCCAATCATACATCACAACAAGTGAGATTAGAACACAAACAAAGCCAATCTTGGCAACAGGGAGGTGTTTGTGTAGTCAATACCAATTTGGCAACCAACCGAGCTTTCAACCACTCAACACTCCCATCAGGTAAATACTTAATAGCGTACACCCACTTACAACCTACAACATGCTTACCAGGCGGAAGAGTGGTGAGGTCCCACGTATGAGTACGAGTTAGGGGCGAGAGTTCTTCCTCCATTGCTTGGTGCCACCCTGGAGAAGTAAGAGCTTCCTGGACATATTTGGGAACAGAGACGGAGGATAACATAGAAACAAACTGGCGATGGGAAGTCGAAAGGTGAGATACAGAAATATAATTGGAAATTTGGTGAAGAGTGCAATGGCATTTACCTTTCCACAAAGCGATAGGAAGATCAAGGTCAGAACAAGGAATGGGGCTGGGATGGAAACAACTACCGGATCTATCAATGGTGACGAATCTAGGGGAGGAGCCAATACCTGACGATGCGTATACAATTGCTGGATGGGTGGTCGTTCAACAGGAAGTTGCATTGGAGGCGAAGACTCGGTCATAACTAGAACAAGAGGAATGGAGTCCTCAACAGGAACCGGGAGTGGAGGTGATGGAAGAGAAGAAACACTTGACCCAGAGAAAAAAGGAACAAACTCAAATAATGTAAGATCGAGACACACAAAAAAACGCTGGGAATTGGGGTTATAACACTTATACCCTTTTTGAGTCCTGGAATAGCCAAGGAAGACACACTTAGTGGATCGGGCATTTAACTTGTCCATTCCAGGCCCAAGATTATGGACAAAACACACACACCCAAAAACCCTGGGAGTAAAAGGAAAAGAAGACAAAGTAGGAAACAAAACCGATACTGGAGAATGACCTTCAAGGATGGACATGGGCATGTAGTTAATAAGAAAGCAAGATGTAAGTATAGCATCCCTCCAAAAGTGTTTGGGAACATTTATATGATGTAAGAAAGACCGAGTAGTTTCCAAAAGATGATGGTTCTTTCTCTTAGCCACTCCATTTTGCCGAGGGGTGTAGGAACACGAGGTTTGATGGATAATGCCATGTTATTCCAAATATTCCTAAAATAGTGTGTACAAATATTTGTGGCCATTATTAGAACGAAGAATTTTAATGTGTACACCAAATTGATTGCGAATCTCAACTAAAATTTTTGGAAGATAGAAAACAATTCACTCCTTTCTTTCATAAGGTAAAGCCATGTCATCCTTGAATAGTCATCAACAAAAATTACAAAGTACTTGTAACCATTATAAGACACTACTCTAATTGGACCCTGTTAGAGTGCTCGAGTCCGGGGTATTTTGGTCATTTTGGTTTATCTTCTTGAAAGTGAAAGGTCTATTGTATCTGAGTTTAAGTTATGTGTCCCATCTTATATGAGGGACAAAACTGTCTTTCTTGTAACTTCAAGTTTTATGAATAAAATCCAAGTGATTCGGCTAGGAGAGTGATTTTTTTTCACATTCTCTCTTCTAGTCTGGCCGAACAT